CGATCATAAAAATTTACAAGTGGTAATGGTCCGAGAAAGGGAGGATAGTGGATTATGGAGTTAGGGGGAGGCTTAAATCCATAATGCCACATGAGAACATTTGCAAGGGCAAGATAAGTTTCCAAAGATGTTTACATGTGGTATCTTTTAACATCATATAACCTTGCCCTTTGCATTGCACACTAGCAAGTAAATAGTTTTTTAAATTCTAAAATTTTTATTATTTGCTTGTTTTGATTGTGTTGTCATCAATCACCAAAAAGGGGGAGATTGTAAGGAAAATGGACCCTAGGCCCATTTACTTTGGATTTTGGTGTTTGATGACCAACACAACCAAATTGGACTAATGGATTTGCATGTAATTGTTTTGTAGTTCAATAGGATGCAAAACGTGACTTGGACGAAGGCGACGTGATGATCCGATGATCAACACCTCAAGAAAGATATGTGAAGATGCATAGAAGACATACAAGGTCAAGCAAAGTCCAAGCACGAAGATTGGAAGCAACCCGGACGCAAGATCGCGAAGAAACGAGCCCGACAGAGGTGACCGGACGCGGCTCTATGAGTGACCGGACGCATCGGTGACAGGCAACAGCAGGCGTCAGCAGCTGTGACCAGACGCTGAGTGAAGCAGTGACCGGATGCACCAATAACATTGTTCATCATCACGGCAGTATTTTCAACGTGACCGGACGTAGTAGACTGGACGACCGAACGCACAAAGTGCACCGTCCGATCGTTTCCAGAGAGGTTCCAGAGCGGCACAGTTGCCACCAGATGCGTCCGGTGGCATGTGACCGGACGCCATCAGCGTCCGATTAGTTGATCGCACCGAAGATCAAGTGACCATTGTGAGTGACCGGACGTGTCCGGTCAGGATGTGATCAGCATCCGGTCAGTAGCAGAAAGTTGGGTTTCACCCCCAACGGGTACTTTCTCAGTGGGGCTTATAAATAGACCCGCCAACCGGCCATTTGAAGAGTGTGCAGCTGAGGAAACATACCAAGGATGTTGATACACCATTTTAGTGATCTTCACTTGCATAGTGCTTAGTGATTCATTAGGTGATTAGCGTAGGTGCTTTGCGAAGTGCTTAGGTTGATTAGAACACCGCTTATGCGCTTGCTCTAGGTTTAGGCCTAGTGTTTAGTGAGGTTTGCATACCTCTTACCACTCGGTGCTTGCGCGCACCATTGTTGTACATCGGAGGGACTTGTAGTCTTGCGAGATCACACCAATCGTGTTTGTGGTGTGGCTGCCACCATGTACCAAAGGAAACAAGGCCCGCGGCGGTTCGGCCGGAAGTTTGATAGTGAAGACGGTAGAAAGCGGTTCGGCCAGAAGCTTGATAGTGAAGACGGCGGGAAGCGGTCCGAGAGAGGCTTGCCAGAAGGCACATCGGAGACCCACTTGCACATGAGGAAGGCCCCGGGCTATCCACGGAGTTACCCGACAGGGAGCTTGGCCCTTGCGAGGGGCTCCAACGAGGACTAGGGGGAAGCTTGCGCGCTTGTCGACCATATTGCTGGAGAAGCTCGTCGGCAGGCTATGCGTGGCGGAGTGCTGTGGTGGAGTCGAGGCGGTCGCGGATGGCGTTGAGCGTCTGCTGCTCATGGAGGAGTAGTGGGAGGTGCGTTAGTGACATCAATGCTGCAGCTTGGAGCGCTCGAGCGAAGGCAGTGACAAGCACGACGATGGCGAGAAAGGCATCGACATCGACGACGAGCCGATGTTCGTGTAGGTTGGGCGTATGGGGTGTCGTGGTTTAGGGGGTGATTGTCAGGAATAAACCACGCCATGGTGTTTTCTGTGTGTGCAGGTTCTATTTTTGGGTTGCATGCTAGCATGCAATGGTGGAGGCTAAGTTACCTAGGAAGTTAGGTGCTAGTTTGACAGAGTGAGTGGTGTATGTAGTTTCCTTCACATGGGGAAGCCATGATGCCTGAACGAGCGAGAGCCTCTCGGACATCACTGAGCGAGTCATGTGAATCATGGCATGAAGGGCGGGTGTGAAGGTTAGCTCCTGGTGTGTCCGTGGCCTATATGTAGCCCCTGTGCTCCTCTGTATTGAGTTGCCAAGTGCAGTGAATATGTAGCCAAGATAAAGGCGAGTTTGTCGCCGCGGCATTCGTCGCCGGAAAATAGTGTGTCTATTGTGCTTCTTCTACCTCTCGCCAAGAGCGTTGGCGTGTGTGTGTTTGAGTGGTTCCTGGGCGAAGCCGAACATTAGCTTTATTAGAGTATATAGACGTGGATATAGAAATATAGGATGTAGAATATATATAGAATATAGATATGACTTATTATGCATACATGCACCGTAAAGTATATACATCAGAAACTGAAAAGGGTTAATATACTTTTCATGCAGACATATATGAAGTCGAACCAGAAGAGATGGGCGCAAACTAATAAATAACCAAATGAATTAGGAGCTGCAGCTATAGTGGGTCCATTTGGTCTTTGCCAAGAAGTAGTCACTACTACACAAATGATTTTAGAGAGATGGTGCCCAAACATTAACGGAGGTGGGTACAAAATCCAACCGCCTCCTAAAATGCTGGGCTATTAACGGAGGCGGTCATTTTCATTTATCGAGGTGATCACGTTTGCCCGCCTCATAAAATCGAATTACGGAGACGGTCGTTTTAAGACAACCGCCTCAAAAAATGTTCTATTTCTGGAGGCGGTCGTCTTAAGGCAACCGCCTCCTTAAATCGATTTTTGGAGGCGGGCACACTATAAGGCCTGCCTCTAAAAATCATAGCCCAGACAAAGTCCAAGAGGCCCAGTTCCAAGCACACCTATATATACCACACTATAGGGTTTTCTGCCTTAGGCCTTATTTAGATTGCAAGTTTTTTCACTCTCTCTCCGTCACATCAAATCTTTGGACACATGCATGGAGTATTAAATGTAGATAAAAAATAACTAATTACATAGTTTGATTGTAAATTACGAGACGAATCTTTTGAGTCTAGTTAGACCATGATTGGACAATAATTATCAAATACAAACGAAAATGCTACAGTGTCAAATACTGATTCCTAACGCTCATCTAAACAAGGCCTTAGCCCTCTCCCTCCCTCAGCAACACGCACCACGCTCCCTCCCTTAGCCACACGCGACGCACCTCACTCACCTGTACGGCGCACAGCGCATCTCATTCCCCCTCGCCTCTCTGCTCGAATGGCGCATGGTGCGCTCGCCTCCCTCCCTCCTTCCATCTCCCTGCTCTAGTGTGCTCGCCTCCCTCCCTCCCTCCCTCTCCCTGCTCTGGTCCGCTTTGGCGCTCGGCTCCCTTCTCTACCCTGGCGGCGGTGGCACATGGCCCTAGAGCGGTGGCGTGCGGTCCTCGAGGGGCGGTGACGCGGCCAGGAGCAGGCGGCAAATCCAACGAGCTCATAGCCCTGATGAGATCCGGATCCGGTGGCTTCGCGAGATCCGGCGCGAGGAGGCGGAGGCTGACAAGATCCACACACAAGGAGGCTTGTGGCGCTCCCCGGCGGTGGATCCAGGGCGGACGCGCTCACCGGTGGTGAATCTAGGGGCGCCTATCCTTCGGCGGCAGATCGAGGGTGGTGGCATCCCCCGGCGGCGGATCCAGGGCGTGCCCATCCTTCGACGGCAGATCGAGGGTGGTGGCATCCCCTGGCGGTGGATCTAGGGCGTGCCCGTCCTCCGGTGGCGGATCGAGGGTGGTGGCGTCCCCCGGCGGTGGATCGAGGGCGGGCAGGTGTGTTAGTATGTCGTTCTATATTGAAGTTCCAAGGGGCTTTGAAATTAAGTGACTAGTTCAAGGGGTGAATCGAATACTCCATTAAATAATTATACCCAATGTAAGGGATTTTTTTTTGGACAAAAGGGCAATTTTATAGCAAATAGCCACACAAATTTGGTATGTATTATATTGTTGCTTGTCATTTATATCAAATAAAATGGTCCTTTACTTAACGTCTATACGTGAAAAAATTAAATTGATTACCAAATGAAGTCAGGGCAGATGTGTCTTTTCTATTATAATATGTCTTATAATCTAATAGAATCAGTATGGGGTTATTTTGTTTATTACCTTACCCAGGCAACGTTGTCTCACCAGTCAGCAATCCAGGCTCTCAATTTTGAGTGTCTGGTGGCCAGATTTGTTGCCTGGCAGGCATCAAGATTCAACGATTGACCTCAGTATAGTTGTAAATTCATGTGTTGGATGTGATAACTTTATAACTATCTACAATGACTTCAATTATTAAGTTTGGAATGTGTACAAATAGGAAACTACACAAATTAATTAGCTATCTGTTAAAAGCATCACCAACAGTCCCCAATACCTGGTCTGATCCCCATAAAACTATTATATTAGGGATACTTATGTTTTTTTTGCTCCAACAATTCCCCAATACCTGTCCTTTTTTTTGTGACCAACAATATTTACCCTCATCTCCCCTCAAATAAAGGGGGGGGGGGTTGCATCTCCCCTAGTGTAGCATGTGGCCAACCTAAACTTTCACTTCTCAGCTATCTTTTTCCTTACACACCTATGGGACCCACCTTTCATATTAGTATTTGGAAAGATATATTAGAGTACTGCCGTAGCAACTCCCCTAATATTCACAAAAAAAAAAATTGGCTACCCCAATACATATATTAAGGATACATTATTGGAGAGATGCTGGATATGCTCAGCTATAAAATTCAGAATAAATATCTACTATACTCTTTTCATCAATTAATAGTTCCTAAATTAAATATAACATATAGAACTTTAGCACTCTAAACTTTAATGTTTATAGTCGATGTTTAATTTAACTGTTTATTTATCCATTTGTCTTGAGTTTCTACTATTTATACTGAGCATCTACAAAAGACATCTGTTTTAATATGTACTTTTTATTTCTTACACCACACCATACTTATATGTACATAACTGCAATCAACAGTGGTAATTAAAGGCGCCTAGGGAATCAAGTACACGATGCAGAACATCAAGAAACTCCGGAATGAGTGGGAAATTCAGTTCTTGGTGCTCCTCAGTTTCACATTACAGATTTTCCTCTTTTTTTACTGGCAGTCTTCGGCGGCGTAGCACCAACATGTTACTTAATTTCATAATTTGGATAGCTTACCTAGGTGCAGACTTGGTAGCAGTTTATGCCCTTGGCTTTCTTTCAAGACATGAGGATATAACTACTGGAAGTGACACTTTAAGAGGGGTCCACCAATTAGCTTTCTTTTGGGCACCTTTCCTGCTCATACATCTTGGTGGACAAGACACAATAACCGCTTTTGCCATTGAGGACAACTTTTTATGGTTGAGACATTTGCTGAATTTGATTGTTCAAGTTACCCTTGCCATCTATGTATTTTGGAAGTCCATTGATCAATACAGTCATCAACTTACAGCTTCAGGTATTTTTGTCTCTGTTACTGGAATCATCAAGTATGGGGAAAGGACAATGGCCTTAATGTATGGGAACCTAAGAAACATGGGTGGTGCTCTTCAGAAAAACAAAAACACGAGTGGCTCCAATACTAATGAAGATGATGGCTCTCATATCACTGAAAATGTGGAAGTGGTTCCAAGACTAGAGCAGGCTGATGATGTTGATTATCTTGGCATTGTTTCTTTTGCTTTGCAATCAGCTCCAGGTGTCCGAGAACTCTTTGCGCAGGACACACCTTGCACCAAATGGAAGATTACCAAAGGAGTGTACTAACATCATCTAGAATTCGCAAGGCCCACATGCCCAAGTTATTGGAGGTTGAACTTGACCTAATGTACGATGATCTCTACACCAAGGCTCAGGTGATTCGTACAAAAGGTGGTATCGTACTTCGAAGTTTGTATCAAATTTCTATGGTAGTGGCTTTTGTGCTCTTCCTTGTAAGCGACCATCATGGATACAGCAGGGCCGATCTTGCAATCACATACTTGTTATTTTCCGGAGCCTTTTTCCTGGAAGCTTGTGCAGTATTTTTGTTAGTGATGTCGCCATGGACTTGGTCATGGTTGAAGGCTCGAAGGTGCTGTGGGCTCGCTCATGTATGCTCGCTCATGGATTGGATAATTATTTTTGGCGACGCCGATTCGGGTGAACTAAACATGGCCTTAGGTCCGGTGGTAGAGTGGTAGCGCGGCATACTGTAAGCACGTGTACTCTCCCCTCAAAAAACAAAAACAAAAAAAACTGTAGACACGTGTACTCAGGTTCCCGCTGTGTGGCCGCATGCAGCCGTGAACAACCAGCAAAACCAATCCGAAGCGGAGCTGCCAGATGGTGGTCTGCCATTCGCTACCATTCACCACCCACGGATCGCGATCCGCGTGAGAGCCAGCCAAATCAATCGGAGCCCTCCATTCCCACGCGATCCGACGGCGCCCGTCCAGCCTGATCCCCACCCTGCCCCAAAATTTTCCGCGCCCCACCTACCTCCTCGGTGTCCGCGCAGTTCCCCCACCGCAGCAAATCCAGAGCCCCATCTCCATTTCAAACAACCGAGCAACAACTCTCACTTCTCCCCAGCCCAATCCCCCGCGATGGCCCACACGAAGCAGACAGCGCGCAAGTCCACCGGCGGCAAGGCGCCGAGGAAGCAGCTGGCGACCAAGGCGGCGCGGAAGTCAGCCCCGGCGACCGGCGGCGTGAAGAAGCCGCACCGCTTCCGCCCAGGCACCGTGGTGCTGCGCGAGATCCGCAAGTACCAGAAGAGCACGGAGCTGCTCATCCGCAAGCTCCCGTTCCAGCGCCTGGTCCGCGATATCGCGCAGGACTTCAAGACCGACCTCCGCTTCCAGTCCTCCACCGTCGCCGCGCTGCAGGAGGCCACCGAGGCCTACCTCGTCGGGCTCTTCGAGGACACCAACCTCTACGCCATCCACGCCAAAGCGTCACCATCTTTGCCGAGGGCCGGAAAGAGGGCGCTCGGCAAAGAATTTTTTTTTAAATAAAATTCAAAGTTTGTTGATCGCCGGCTGTGGAGCACTCGGCAAAGAATTTTTTTAAAAAAAATAAAACATTTTTGTCGAGGGCCGGATAGAGGACACTCGACAAAGAATTTTTTTTAAAAAAAATAAAACATCTTTGTCGAGGGCCGGATAGAGGACACTCGACAAAGATTTTTTTTAAAAAAAATAAAAAATCTTTTCTGAGTGTCTGCAGGGTTGGCACTCGGCAAAGCGACCGTCAACGGAGCCGGCGCCGTGACGGTGGCTTTTCTTTGCCGAGTGTCCCCGGGGCTCTCGGCAAAGCCTGTGCCGAGCGCCCGATAAAAGACATTCGGCAAAGAGGGTTTTGCCGATCAATTTTTTGTCGTGTGTTCTTTGTCGAGTGCCGCACTCGGCAATGGCTCTTTGTCGATCAATTTTTTGTCGTGTGTTCTTTGTCGAGTGCCGCACGCGGCAAAGGCTTTGCCGAGTGCAATTTGGCCTTTGCTGAGTGCCTCAAGCACTCGGCAAAGAAGCTGAATCCAGTAATGAAAGGTTGCATAGTCAATCTATTCGTAGGAGATCTCAAGCAGACTTGGCAACCTCGAAAGCCTAAGGGCCAGTTTACACTTCGTCCCTTCGAAAATGCATGAGGGCGAAGAAACAAAAGCCTAAGGGCTAATTTACACTTCGTCCCTCTGAAAATGCGTGAGGGCAAAGAAACGAAAGCCTAACGGCTAATTTACACTTCATCCCTCCGAAAATGCGTGAGGGCGAATAAACAAAAAGTTAAGGGCTAATTTACATTTTGTCCCTCGTCGAAAAGGTTGGGGGACGGCGTCGTTTTTCTCTAAGTTATGCCAAAGGGCTGGCACTGAAGCACTATCATGCGTGTTTTGCCATCCCTCGCCGAAAAGGTTGGGGGACGGCGTCGATGGCCTCTTTCATCATTGGTTTCGTCGACTGGGTGAAAGGTAGGTCGAAAGCTTTTGAGCTTTCCTGAGCAAACCGGGTGAAAACCAATGGCCTCATTCGCCATTGGTTTCATCGAGCCGGGTGAAAGGTAGGTCGGAAGCTTTTGAGCTTTCCTAAGCAAACCGGGTGAAAACCAACAGCCTCTTTCGCCATTGTTTCGTCGAGCCAGGTGAAAGGTAGGTCAAAAGCTTTTGAGCTTTCCTGACCAAACCAGGCGAAAATCAACGGCCTCTTTCGCCATTGGTTTCGTCGAGCTGGGTGAAAGGTAGGTCGAAAGCTTTTGAGCTTTCCTGAGCAAACTGGGTGAAAACCAACGGCCTCTTTCGCCATTGGTTTCGTCGAGCTAGGTGAAAGGTAGGTCGAAAGCTTTTGAGCTTTCCTGAGCAAACCGGGTGAAAACCAACGGCCTCTTTCGCCATTGGTTTCGTCGAGCCGGGTGAAAGGTAGGTCGAAAGCTTTTGAGCTTTCCTGAGCAAACTAGGTGAAAACCAACAGCCTCTTTTGCCATTGGTTTCGTCGAGCTGGGTGAAAGGCAGGTCGACAGCTTTTGAGCATTCCTGACCAAACCGGGTGAAAACCAATGGCTTCTTTCGCTATTGGTTTCATCGGCAAGCCTTTTGTCCTTAGTGAGCAAAACGTTGGCTGATTAGTAAGAAAAGGTTGGGGGACGGCGCCATTTTTCTCTAAGTTGCGCCGAAGGGCTAGCACAGAAACCCTATCGCGCGCGTTTCGCCACCCCCCACTGAAAAGGTTGGGGGCGGCACTGTTCTTCTCTAAGTCGCGCTAAAGGGTTGGCAACGAAACCTATCGTGCGCGCTTCGCCACCCCCACCAAAAAGATTGGGGGCAGCACTATTCTTCACTAAGTAATGCTAAAGGGTTGGCAACGAAACCTATCGCGCGCGTTTTGCCACCCTTCCCCCCCGGCCCAAAAGGTTGGGGCGGCACTGTCCTTCACTAAGTCGCGTTGAAGGGTTGGCAACAAAACTATATCGCGTGTGTATCACCATCCCTAGCTGAAAAGGTTGGGGGACGACACCGTTTTGTTCCAAGTCATGCCGAAGGGCTGGCACTGAAACCATATCGCGCACGTTTCAACATCCCTCGCTGAAAAGGTTGAGGGACAACACTGTTTTTCTCTAAGTTGCACCGGAGGGCTGGCACTAAAGCCCTATCACGCGCGTTTCGCCATCACTCGCCGAAAAGGTTGGGGGACGGCGCCGTTCTTCTCTAAGTTGCGCCGAGGGGTTGGCATCGAAGCCCTATCACGTGCGTTTCGCCATCCCTCACTGAAAAGGTTGGGGGACAGCACCATTCTTCTCTAAGTTGCGCCGAGGGGCTGGCACCAAAGCCCTATCATGTGTGTTTCGCTATCCCTCGTCGAAAAGATTCAGGGACGGCACCGTTTTTCTCTAAGTTGCACCGAGGGGCTGGCACCGAAACCCTATCGTGCGCATTTCGCCATCCCTCATCGAAAAGATTGGGGGACAACGCCGTTTTTCTCTAAGTTGCACCGAAGGGCTGGCACTAAAGCCCTATCGCACGCGTTTCACCATCCCTCACTGAAAAGGTTGGGGGATTCTCTAAGTTGCACCGAAGGGCCGGCACTAAAGCCCTATCACACGCGTTTCACCATCCCTCATCGAAAAGGTTGGGGGACGGCGCCGTTCTTCTCTAAGTTGGGCGAAGGGGCTGGCATCGAAGCCCTATCACGCGCATTTCGCCATACCTTGCCAAAAAGGTTAGGGGACGACACCTTTCTTCTCTAAGTTGCGCCGAGGGGCTGGCACCGAAGCCCTATAGTGCGTGTTTCGCTATCCATCACCGAAAAGGTTGGGGGACGGCGCCGTTCTTCTCAAAGTTGCGTTGAGGGGCTGGCATCGAAGCCCTATCGCGCGTGTTTCACCATCCCTCGCCGAAAAGGTTGTGGGACGACACCGTTCTTCTCTAAGTTGCGCTGAGGGGCTAGCACCGAAGCCCTATCACGCACGCTTCGCCATCCCTCACCGAAAAGGTTGGGGGACGGCGCCATTTTTCTCTATGTTGCGCCGAAGGGCTGGCACTGAAACCCTATCGCGTGCTTTTCGTCACCCCCGCCGAAAAAGTTGGGGGCGACACTTCTTCACTAAGTCACGCTAAAGGGTTGGCAACAAAACCCTATCGCGCGTGTATTGCCATCCCTTGTCGAAAAGGTTGGGGGACGGCACCGCTTTGTTCCAAATCGCATTCAAGGGCTAGCATTGAAGCCCTTTCGCACGTATCGCCACCCTTCGTCAAAAAGGTTGGGGGCGGTGTCGTTCTTCGCTAAGTCATGCTGAAGGCCTGGCAACGAAACCCTATCGCGCGCGTTTCGCCACCCCTCACCGTTAAGGGTCGGTGGACGGCATCTCTTTTCACTAAATACCGCCAAGGGTCTAACAGCGAAGCCTGCCAATATTCTAGTTTTCGTCCATCCCTATCGGAAAAATAGCGTCAATTCTTTTAAGTTCAGTCCTAAAACCATTCGTTAAAAACTAAATACAAAAAAACTCCAACACGGGAGGCTTTGGTTTAGCAGCAAAGTCAACGAATACCTTATCATTACCGAAAGCATTTGGCCTTTCGCACACTTTTGTTGGGCCTTTATACCCTTCAAGGTCAACTATGCCTTCAAACGTGGTGCGAATGAACAACAGCTTTTGACCAAGGGCTATCCATTCTTCAATCAAATCCATGCTAATTTGCCATTGGCAAGTAAGGGCGAAAGCTTCCCCCGCTCCTCACTTTGCCCGGTCGAGTTTGCCTCATATGGCCGAGGCTGCGGCACAATCTTGTCACCAGGAGGCCAAAACCACGGACATCCCAAACTGTCCGAAGCTATGTACCCCTTGTTCACATATTCTTGAAACTGTGAATGGTTAACTCGAGGTAGCACAAGAACGCCCCAAACTTGTTCTGACATTTCAAACTCATTTGGATTTGTTGGTTGAACACCAACGGAATGCCCAGCAGTACCGTCATGGCAACCGTGTCGGTTTCGGCATGAAGATCCGAAAGCCCTACTGCTGGACGAAACTGAAGTCTATGACGAATGACCTTTCGTCCTATCAGTCCTCCGGTCCAAAGACCCTGAGTTGTTATCATTCTCGCTTGATGAATCGAAGGACGAATACGTCTCTATCGAGCAAGCCATCTAAAGAGACGGCAAAATCGCAAATGCAACAATAAATAAAAAACAATAAACTGTAAAGGAAACACAAAAAAGCAACAAAGATAAGAAGAACAAATTACCGAAGCCAAAAACGAAACCTGAAGCCACCAAGGAGTTGTGAAACGTCACCCGAAAACATAGGAAGCTACGAGCGATCATCTAGTTGTTGAAACGTCAAGAGGCAACAAGCACACCCGAAAGGGTTGCGTATATATCGGTCAGGCGCGTGTTTCGCAACTCAGGGGGACGGCGTTGTAGGCCGAAACATGATAAAGAAGCAGTGCCCCCTTCGACGCAAGCGACGAATGGAGGCACCGAGGGGCTACTGTTGGGGGATGCCACGATGTTTCGGTCCCCCTATTTCCCTTTATCTATCAACCTTATTTCACCAACGATTGCTAAAAGGCCCGCTGGAGCTACCGGGTTGGCCGAAAGGCCTTTCGTCTAGCCAAAAGGTCTTTCGGCCATCACCTTTTTGCATTAGAGTCTAGCTGTCAACATGGTTATCAAGGCATAACGCATGCTGGTTGGCCGAAAGGCCTTTCGTCCAGCCAAAAGGTCTTTCGACCATCGCTTATCGGCATTAACGTCTGGCTACCGGCATGGTCGTCGGGAGATAATGCCTACCGGTTGGCCGAAAGGACTTTCGTCCAACCAAAAGGTCTTTCGGCCATCGCTTATCGGCATTGACGTCTGGCTACCGGCATGGTCATCGGGAGATAACGCCTGCCGGTTGGCCGAAAGGCCTTCCATCTAGCCGAAAGGTCTTTCGGTCATGTTGACGGCATTTCGTCGGAAGGGTGCAAAAGCCCTTTCGCTCAGCATGACACTTTCATTTCAACTTGGTATGCACGTGTTGTGCAGGTAATCCCTTTTTGTCTTTGTGCTACGAAAAGGCGGAGGCGGCCAGAACAATAGAGTCAAAGCGGTTCCTTTGGCGGGGCCCTTGTGCCAGTTGTAAAGCAGAAGGGACCAGGGGAGGAAGGCGCTTACTGGGGGAGGCCAAAGGCGGAATGGACCAGAAACGCCCCGACGATTTGGAATATGCCTTAGGATCTGGGTAGTTGGAGGGGCATTTCTGTCTTTGTAAAAGATACGAATATATATAAATTAAGCTCCAGGAGCGCTGGGTAGGGGAGAGGAATGAAACCCTAATTCCTTGAGTCGTTTGTAAGTGCTTTTCGTTCTTCATGTTCCTTTCATTCGGTTACGTTGGTGCTTTCGGTTACTTGAGCGATAACCCAATGTTCGAAGGCTAAGGCCTAGAACAACAATCAGCCTGTTCATTTGGCTGTGGCTTGTCGTAAACGATCGTAAATTTTCAGCCGGAACAATATTTTTCTCTCACACAAACCAGCCAGTAGTACTTCTTCACGAACCAGCAACGATATGAACCAGCCAACCGAACAGGCTGAATATGCTTTGTGCTAGTTTTCAATTATTAAATGTATTTTAAAAACTCCAGCACATGTCTTGTATAAATGATGGCGTTAGTAGTTAGAAAATAAAAAGGAGGCGGAATGAGTGATGACATGGAGGACGCATTAAAAAAATAATATGAACACAGGTGAAATATAGATGAATCAGCAATTATTGCGCATAGGAGCAAACAAATACTACTAATACTGATAGCATGGCCTTATGGTAGATAATAATTTGGACATCGATAAGGATGATAACCTGTACTCCCTCCATCCTAAAATAAGTATACATCTCGTTTTCTCGAGGAGTCAGACATTTTTTAAGTTTGACCAATTATATAAAAATCTTATCGATGTTTATATCTATAAATAAGTATATCATGAAAGTATATTTCAATTTTAATTTAATGATACTTATTACACAAAATAAATATGAATACTTTTCTATATAAGCTGGTTAAATTTATAAGTATTTGACTCCTCGAGAAACGAGACGTGCATTTATTTTGGGACGAAGAGAGTATATAACAAGACAAATTTTAGGTAACTACTCTTAGTTTAGCATCCGAATATATGTTATAAGGGCCCTTAATTTCCGGAGCCTTTTTCCTGGAAGCTTGTGCAGTATTTTTGTTACTGATGTCGCCATGGACTTGGTCATGGTTGAAGGCTCGCTCATGTATGCACATCCCTCCTCTGAGGGCAGGACGCTGTGGTCAAATTCCAGGGGGGCAGTACAACTTTCTGAGCTATATGGGCTAGGCTGTCCAAGATAGCGAAGAGGGTGGCGAGGATGACGGAAAGCCTAGTCGGAGCCAATGAAGGAAAACAGCCATTGCTGTGGCTAAGCAAGCTGTTGGATACTGAACATAAGGTGGACAAGATGGCAATGAAGTCTATCATACAGACAGTGCATAAATCATATGGAGAAGGCCCGATCAGTCTAGTGGATGCCCAACTCTGGCCTAACATAGGCCCTTTCCTCCAATATCTGCTGCCCGACTTTGTTGCCAGTTTAGGTTATGGCATTGTATGCTTTCATATATTCACAGACAGGGGCGGAGCTTCCCACATGGCAACATACCTCAATTTTTCTGGAACTCATACCCCCAAATCACTCCCTCAGCCATGAATGCTTGAAAGAGTTCGTGAACTGCTGTTCTGTTGCCCTGAAGGAGGAGAACACTACGTCAAAACTGAACCGGCATCTGTATTTCATATGTGGGCTGCAGGCTTGTGGGCTTATGTGGCCTGAGTAGGGGCCCAATTAAGATGGCGTCCAGGCACCCACAAGCTACGACGGAGAGCAGTGATCAAGAGTCCCGATTTGGGAAAAAAAATAGAAGAAGAAGCAGTTCGAAACTTTTCGTATACCCGGCCATCGCATCGTCCTAGCCCTAGCTTTTGCCTTCCTCTCGATCAATCGGCCTCCGCCGTCCTGGCCTCCTGCGCTGCGCGTCCTGCTCCTTGGCCGATTGCCTAAACATGAATCCAAAAGGAAAAGGCAACGACAATGACAAAAGGCTCAAAACAAAAGGTACATACTGTACTATAATTAATTGGAATTTCAGCTCCTAATACACTTCAGTTGAAAGGGCATTTTCAGCAGCGAAGATTATCAAAACTGAATTACGCAACAAGATGTCTGATGCTTGGCTTTGTGCTACATTGAGCGAGAGATATTTAAAGGAATTGATCTCGAGAAAATTAAGAAAGCATTCCAGAAGAAGAAAGATAGGGAGGTGCAATTACCTAGATCTCCTAGACGCAACTAAAGCTTCATTGTCACTCGGTTTGTCTCTTGATTTCGCTTGCACCTTTTTAGTATTCTTCTTTAATGTTAGATTTCTTCTATATAGTATTTATATATTTTTGTTTGTATATTTCATGCTTGGTGAACGAAAATCATTAAATTTTACATGTATACAAAGCAACATTAGTTTTAAATTTTATGCTATCTAAGTAGCTATATTCTATAGTTCGGCATCCCGCCACACCTCAATTTAATTCCTTCCTCCGCCACTGTTCACAGAGGGACACTTACATGCGGACTTTTACATGGGGGGCCTGTTACAGAGATGATGTCATCAGTGACTTGGTAACTGCATGCCGCAATCTGTCCAACACCACATGCTCTACCTTCTGGTAACACGACCTGAAATGCTGCCTGTCAGTGGCACCACGGACCTACCATGAAATTATTTCTTGACAAGATCACTGAAGAAGATTGGCGCAGAATGTACCATTTCAACCACACGTCAAGAGCCATAGGTCTTCTGCAACGCTTGGGTTTATCATCCGAACCTCCGGCATGCAGAGAAACCCTGGAGGAGTTGATGAGCGCTGCTTGTCGGTGTTTCGAGTCACCACTAACAAGTAAATTTCTAATATTGCGCGTATGGCTCGGATAGTGTGCTTAGAGGACACGAGGTTTATACTGGTTCGGGCAGAATGTCCCTACGTCCAGTTCGTCGCTGCTGCTCGTGTTACTAGCACTGAAAGTTTGCGGTAGGGGTTACAAACGGGCGAGAGAGGGATAGGTCCCAAGTCTCTAATGGAAGGAATGAACGGGTGCCGAGGGCTCGGTTGCTCCTCGGCCATGTGCTTGTGTTATGATCGGTTCGAGGTTCGATGAGTTCATGATGGTTCGATCGGGTCTGGCCTGGATCGATAGTTTGATTGTTCGATGGTCAAATGCCTCTCATGGGGCGCCCTGCTTTCCCTTTTATATGCCAAGGAAAAGCACGAGTTACAGCGGAGGAAAGGAGGAGAGCGAGCGAGAGAGAGAGAGGATGTCCTTTAGGATCTCCGGGTCATTCTTATCCTTCATGCCGGTCCCGCTGACCCTGTAAATGTCAACAGGGACGGCTCATGTCGCGGCCCTGTCCATCACTAGCGCCATGCGCAGGCGTTGTCTGCCAGTCATGGCGCTCCACTCCGTCCTGGTAGACGTCGTGGTGAACTGACGCTCCTGTCAGTGTTCGTACGAGGGTTAGGCAGAACAACTCCGGTACGCCCGACGCTGTTCCTAATGTGAACCCTCGGGTATGGCCTGTCGTGGCCGTGGGTTACATCGAGATGTGTCGGTCTCTTCTCTGGTGTCAGAGCTTTGACCCAGGCCCATACACTTGGACCTGGAGTGGTTGGCGGCGGCATGGGTCTCCGTTAGGCGAGGCGGAGCCCGTGGCCAGAGGTGGGGCGAGGCGGAGTGCAAACCCAAGGGTCGGGCGAGGCGGATCCCGCGGTCTTGGAGGTCCGGTGAGGAGGAGCCAGCCCTCAGAGGTCGGGCGAGGCGGAGCCCGCGGCCACGATGTCGGGCGAGGCGGAGCCCTCCCCTAGAGGTCGAGCGAGGCGGAGCGCAAACCCAAGGGTCGAGCGAGGCAGAGCCCGTGGCCTTGGGGTCGGGCGAGACGGAGCCCTCCCCCAGAGGACGGGTGAGGCGGAGCCCTCCTCCAGAGGACGGGCGAGGCGAAGCGCAAACCCAAGGGTTGGACGAGATGGAGCGCAAACCCAAGGGTCGGACGAGACGGAGCGCGCGGCCTTGGGGTCGGGCGAGGCGGAGCCCTCCCCCAGAGGCCGGGCGAGACAGAGCCCGCGGCCTTGGGGTCGGGCGAGGCGGAGACCCTCCTCCGGAGGCCGGGCGAGGCGGAGCCCGTGGCCTTGGGGTTGGGCGAGGCGGAGCCCTCCCCCAGAGGCCGGGCGAGGCGGAGCGCAAACCCAAGGGTCGGACGAGGCGGAGCCCGTGGTCTCGGGGTCAGGCGAGGCGGAGCCCTCCCTCAGAGGCGGACGAGGAGTGTTCGTACGAGGGTTAGGCAGAACAACTCCGGTACGCCCGACGCTGTTCCTAATGTGAACCCTCGGGTATGGCCTGTCGTGGCCGTGGGTTACATCGAGACGTGTCGGTCTCTTCTCTGGTGTCAGAGCTTTGACCCAGGCCCATACACTTGGACCTGGAGTGGTTGGCGGCGGCATGGGTCTCCGTTAGGCGAGGCGGAGCCCGCGGCCAGAGGTGGGGCGAGGCGGAGTGCAAACCCAAGGGTCGGGCGAGGCGGATCCCGCGGTCTTGGAGGTCCGGTGAGGAGGAGCCAGCCCTCAGAGGTCGGGCGAGGCGGAGCCCGCGGCCACGATGTCGGGCGAGGCGGAGCCCTCCCCTAGAGGTCGAGCGAGGCGGAGCGCAAACCCAAGGGTCGAGCGAGGCAGAGCCCGTGGCCTTGGGGTCGGGCGAGACGGAGCCCTCCCCCAGAGGACGGGTGAGGCGGAGCCCTCCTCCAGAGGACGGGCGAGGCGAAGCGCAAACCCAAGGGTTGGACGAGATGGAGCGCAAACCCAAGGGTCGGACGAGACGGAGCGCGCGGCCTTGGGGTCGGGCGAGGCGGAGCCCTCCCCCAGAGGCCGGGCGAGACAGAGCCTGCGGCCTTGGGGTCGGGCGAGGCGGAGCCCCTCCTCCGGAGGCCGGGCGAGGCGGAGCCCGTGGCCTTGGGGTTGGGCGAGGCGGAGCCCTCCCCCAGAGGCCGGGCGAGGCGGAGCGCAAACCCAAGGGTCGGACGAGGCGGAGCCCGTGGTCTCGGGGTCAGGCGAGGCGGAGCCCTCCCTCAGAGGCGGACGACGCGGAGCCCGCGGCCTTGGGGTCGGGCGAGGCGGAGCCCGACCCCGAGGCCAGGCGAGGCGGAACGCAAACCCAAGGGTCGGAGGAGGCGGAGCCCACGGCCTTGGGATTGGGCGAGGCGGAGCCCTCCCCCAGAGGCTGGGCGAAGCGGAGCGCAAACCCAAGGGTCGGGCGAGACGGAGCCCGCGCGCCTAGGGGTCGGTTGGAGGCGTAGTCGCGCTCTTGACTGTTCGGATGAATTAGTATTGATGACCATTAATCCCTACTCTTCGAGTACCCTAATATTGGTTTCCGACACTGCTCGTAACTCCGTCGGCAAGTTGCGAGCAGCGGTGCATGCGACGGGGCTGAGCACAGGAGGGGAGCTCATCACCTTTGCTTGGCTGCTCATGGCGCACAAGCAGCTTCGAGATGTTGGACATCGGTATGCCTTCATTGGCGATGACGATGTTACTTCGGCAGTTGAACGCGTACGCACGATGAGAATATTGTCCTAGATGCTAGATATCCCTGCCACCAAAAAAAAAAAAAGCTGGCAAGCTCATCAATGTTTTTTAATCTTTATCATTAGTAAATAATTAAAAATTATTAGTACATTATATTATTGCTTAGTAATTATGATGACAAGATTAATTTTGGTAAGTGTTAATCTGTTGAGTAGTGCATGTTCTGTAAGCTTGTTAGGATAATAGTGGTGCTAATTAACATATTTTATTTGTAATTGTCGACTACCATGACAAAATTAGTGTTAGTGCATTTTATTAGTGTACAATCAGTTGTTATTCTTAAATAATATAAATACAATAAGTTAAGTATTCTCATCCCATTCACTCTCATTCATCTAACCAAAAGAAATATGTCTCGTCCTATCCGTCCAACCAACAGAAGTCACCCGATATAAGAAGCAAGTTGATGATTGGCTCCAATTTTGTTGACGTGTGTTGCTAATGTCTTGGTTTAATTAGGAAGGCTAAATATGGTGATTAGCATTGTACCGCGGAGTATCTCTAGATATGATTCTGCACTAAAAGCGGGCTAACGAATAGGGCCACGTCGCCTGTGAACCCGCTAGCCGTCAGATCTGGCCAAGACGCGATACGGACCATCGGCGTAGCGGATCTATCACCCGTTAAACCGTCGACCCGGACGGTCACGAATCCTCGTGAACCCACTGGCGAGCGACTCGGCCTCTCCCCAGCGCGGTCTCTCCTCCAGACCTCGTCCTGCTACCCTCCGCCGCCCCGCACCTCCCTCCTCCTCCCGGAGCGGGCGAGGGGGCCAGCGGCCCCAGCGCGGGCGGGGTGCGGGTGCCGCGGGCGCGGCGTTCCTAGCCATCCCGGCGCGGGTGGGGGGCCCATCGGCCCCGGCGACCCTGGCCGCTCTGGTCCTGGCCATCCCGGCGCGGGCAGGGGCCCCAGCTACCCCTGCGATCCCAGCACAGCCGGCTGTGCGAGCGTGGCGGCTCCGGCCACCCCGTAGCGGGCGGTGGGCGCAGGCACGTCGGCTGTGACCACCCCGGTGCAGGCGTGGGGCTCCATCCACCTTCCGGGCTGTAGCGAACGCGGCATTGGCGGCTTGTCCCTTGGTCAGCTGCACCCGCACTCGGGTGTCCCTCAGTGAGATGGTTCCCAGACCGAAGGGGCCTGAGCCGATGTCGAGCTACAGCCGACAGTAGGCCGTCCTCCTCTGACCTCGCCCCTTCGCCCGCTCCTAGGTGAGGTGAGCTCTCCCTTCTTCTCTTGCCATTAATTTTTGTGTTAGATTTGAGCCATCGTGAGATGCTTCTGTGTGCAGGGAGATGATCTATCGATTGGCATCTAAGGGCAATAGATGAACTGTTATTCCTGAGTTAGACGTGTATGTGTGCCTGGATACAATAGTGATGTTTGCCTGGATACTATAGTTTAGTGAGTGAGGATGTGACCTATCTTGCTGCATATGCACATTCGGATGTTTGTTTCATGGACTGTTTTAGTTAGAATCTAGAAAGTTAGAACTGAAAATTCAGAAGTGATCTTTTTAATACCGTTGCACGTCTGTAATTTTCATGCCAGTAACCTTGTCCCAATTGATTCTGAAACTCAAATTTGTCCAGCCATTACGTATGCTTGAACTGAGCTAAACAAGAATCATCCTTGCCTCTGAACTGCATTAGAATTAGGCATTAAGGTTTAATAAATACTATCCCAACTCATGGTTGAATAAATCTAGTATGCTAATTAGTTGAATTTGTTGTAGAAAAAATATCTGTCTAATAGTATATAGAGTATCCGTGATCTGTGTCTTCCTATCCCAATTCATATGGTTCTCTACTATTTATTTTTTCCTAAAGTTTTAATGTACTATGTACTGATTCGGATAAATACTTAGTTAAATAGGTGCAATTTTGGTATATTGTGGTTTCATGATTACACCTGCTACTCCTTTCTACAATTTAATCTGCTTGCGATATACAATAGGATGCAGTGATAAACAAGTGACCACTGCTGTACTGCTTGATGGCTGCTTCCTGCAATTTGGTGTGCTGGTGCCGTATGTCATATCTCTGACTCTGTCAAGCAGTATTCTGTATTGTAGATTGCTGAGAACTTAATGTTTAAATTTTTTTATTGTGCAAGTTAGACATCGCAATATTGCATACCTCGCAGTGCTACATTGCGAGATAGGTGTACGGGCATGATCAATTCTTTCCTTGTAGCTTACCCAGTACTCTATTCTAAGGTGGTGTTTGTTCCTCCTCCTAAACTGTAGTCGCTGTCCTATCGGATGTTTAGACACATGCATGGAGTATTAAATATAGACTAATTACAAAACTAATTACACAGTTTGCGACTAATTTGCGAGACGAATCTTTTAAGCTTAATTAGTCTATGATTTGACAATGTGGTGCTACCGTAGATACATGCTAATGACGGATTAATTAGGCTTAATAAATTTGTCTCGTGGAGTACTGACAGATTCTGTAATTTGTTTTTTTTATTAGTATTTAAACACCTCATGCGACACCCTCATGTGACACCTCCTAAATTTTAGTCACTGGATCCAAACACCCCCCTCAGTTCTAACCGTGAGTTTCTTGCATGCTATGCTTCTACTGTCTAATGAGAAATATTCTGATTTGTAATATATTGCTTGTGACTTGTGATTTAAATTTACAAAGATCTTGCTGTGATGACTTAATGTGAGTGTGATGACCAATGATTTAAATTTACTAAGTTCTGATCTGTAATCTATTGGATGATCAATTAGTTCGGGACTGAAAAGTCGTGCACTTTACATAATTTTGGTGTTTTAAATGACAGTCAAGTCATATACATGTATTAGGACAGATAAGCAGGTAAGGTAGACACTCTCTCTCTCTCTACTTTCTGGACTGTCTACTTTCTGGACTGCAACATTCTGAACTTAGAATCTTTTACTATCCTATATTCGACTTCAGATTGAGTTTTATAATCAGGGCCTAACAGTTATAGGAAGCTCCTCTAATCATATACATACTTGATACCATATCTGTGTTTCTTACACATGAACATGCTTTCCTTGTGTGAAGTTTTTTCATGTCACTAGATACTTTCTTGATATCATATCAGTGATTTTTTAATTTGACTACATGCTTCCGTGAACAAAACACAACGCTGCCATGGATCAAGGTTGCCGTCGAATGCCTGGCCGAGCTGTCTCGGGCAGTGCCTCAGGCGCTCCTGCGCCACTACCGCACACGCGCGCACACCATGCTGCACGGGCAGACTGCCGACCGAGCCACGGTGCCCATAACCATGAACCACACGCCCTGGAGCAGCACCGACGATGACCGCACCACCGCCCCGGCGAATCTCCTTTGCAGGACGGCGCTGGCAGCGATCGTGATGAGGGATGCCGCCACCACCAGCTGCTGCAGCCAGTGGTAGTGGCCCTCAAGGCCGGCATGGCCCGCGGAGTGCAACTGAAGCAGGAACAGCTCCTGCCCGAACACCGACGCGGCAAGCGCGGCCACCACGTCGCCGACTTCACCGGCCGTGGCGGCATCAAGGCGCCGGGAGCTGTTACTATGGCAGGGTTCCTCAACACCATCTTCAATGGCAAGCGTGCCCAGTCCGTGGTGCAGTCGGTGTCACAGGTGCACCAGAGTCTGCTCGACTGCGTAAGCAGTGAAGGCTGGAGTTGTTAGACAGCAAGAACGGTGATCCGGCCACGGTGCCCACGACAGCCATGGAGTGCTAGGATGGTGCTGGAGCTAGAACAGAATATGTTCCACTGGATGTAGATGCACAATTTTAGAAAGAAACCGATCCACCTCATACTTGATTAGGTTGCTCAGCTCTTTTCCTGTTTAGAATCAGAAGTTTAAGATTTGACTTATAACAGCTATTTCTTCTCTATTATGCTGTGCACACCAAGTATTTGATATAATGTGTGCCCAATATATTATGTATTCTGTTGTGGTAACACTCAATTCTCCAAAATGTGTCCTTAGTACCTTGAACTTTTCAGTAGTAATTATACATCTTAACGGCATAATAGAGAAGCAATATTAAAAAAATGTTTCAGATATGACATGACTATAAATATTATTTGAAATTGATTAGTCGCCAGTGTTAGCTAATCTACTGCCACCTTGTGAGAACACAGCAGAGGAAGGCGGCGCCGACTTAGCTGCCTGCTGTGTGTGAACACACCAAGGGAAGGCGGCGCCGACTTTTGCCCCTCGCTGTAATCTGATACAAGCTGCATAGGTGTGGTAGCGCCGACAGCTCACCTGCAGAGATCAGAGAAACAGCGATGGCAGCAGAGTCAGCCCCACTGTCGGGTTATCGATTCATCGTGTGCTACCAGGCGCTGCACATGGACTAGATAGTTAGAGTTGTATAAATAGACATGTATGGCAACTCAGTAAAGAGAGCTCAGATTTGCCATCACACAGACAGGGCTTCGGCCAACGCTGTTGTCTTGTATTGTGCGTGCTTGCTCTGTTCTCTCTTCTTCTTCTAGCTCGATCCGTAGTGTGTGGGTACGGACAACACCGGTACGTGGTCTGCACGGCTAGTGTGTGCTCGGCAATACTATCGCGTGCTCGGCGAGACCCTCAAGTGCTCCACTCGTCTGAGCCGGTGCTCGGCAAGATCGGCTGGAGTGGTTCTGTAACAGAACCGACCAATTATACGAAATTAAGTAAGAAAATCATCCGCCAGAGCAGACGATTTAGCAAACTTAAGCCCGTATAACCCGGTAGTCCGTGAAATCGCGAAGGATTTCAAACCAACTTCCATTCCAGCCAAGATCGTAATAAGTTTAGCGGTCACCATCACATATTACATAAAAGTTCGCAATCTCAAATACATCAGAGTTTAAAAATAGTTATTACAACCCAGTTCGAATAAAAGTAGCGGAAGCCATTTGTTCAAACCACACACTCACGCGGAGTTCAAATATAGTGCCAGCGAATGATCATCTCCAACAAAAGCATTAGACGAGATGTAAAAAATGACCATGCCCATGGTCCTAAGCATCACCCATCGCCGGATAAAGGCAGTTGATACTGAGAGTCGTAATACATACGCCCATACGCAACAAGTGGGAATAAAACCACGAGTACGAGAAGGTACTCAACTAGACTTACCCGACATAACCGAAAATAAATGACACCAAGGATTATGAAGGCTTTATAGTAGGGTAGCTGACTCATTTGCAAAAGAAACATTTTTAACATTTCAAGAACCTTTATAAAAGCGTTATTGTCAACTTAATTATTATTAACCTATCGACTAGATTTGCATCTATACTAGAGTAAACATGTGATTAAGCAATTAATGATAACCACTGATCATTAAACAACTTTCATACTGTCATATTCACTATAACTGTCCAAGTGTTCCATAAACATTTACTACGATGAAGTAACTCAAGTCAAGTGCTCACTATCCAGAGGCGATGGCGATTGAATCGATTCCTAACCGGTGGTGATTTATTCCTTACACAAATCTCACTCACCCGCTAAAGTGAGATATTGATCACCGAGTTAACTTTCCGGTATCTCGAGTTTGCCAGAACCACATGTACCCGGGGCCGACCGACCGCACTTTGGTCTTATCATCCCGCTTCGTGTCCTACCACACCGCCCGGCCACGGACAAGGCGTCAAGGCGGGCAATCTACTCGGCCCGAAAAATCTCCCCAACCGTGGTCGGAAGGTACTTTATCCGCCAGCTAAATGTAAGGCATGCGTTCAACATGACTCGAGGCCCAACAACGGTCGATCCTTAATCGGCTACAGACGGAAACACTACAGTCCAAAAACTCGCAAGTCTCCGCCGGTCTCAACTTCATTTAACACTTAGTTATACCATGACTTCATAGCCATCCAAGCAGATCCGGGTAACCACCTATAGCTCGCAGGTGATAGGAAATCACCCGACTTCTACCGGTCTAAGCCAGCTAAGCATTGACTCGACTGCGGATACCAGGGTAACAAGGATATAGTATAACAAAGGTAAACAAGGTATAATGCAGCAACGGTTGCAAACAACTCCTGAACGTAATGCATCAATTTAAACTAAAGCATTTAATGAAATCATTGCAAACCGGGAGAAAATGCTAAGGGGCTTGCCTCTCTCGAAGGAGCTCTTGGACGGTGATCGGGCACTCCGGAAGTTCCTCAACGTCCTCCTCGTCGGCCCGACACTTCTGGTGCACTCGAACTGCTCCTCGGGCTCCTCGGGTATGACGACTGGGTTCTCGGTTTGCGATCCTGTATGATGCAATGCGCGTAAGTGATTATGCAAACGGTGCATCGAAGGAGATGAATGCAATGGATATGTTTACATGCAAGGTAGTCAACATCATCCAAGAAATTATACTACAAGCATATGTCATCTACTGCATTATCTTCTACTACCAATATGTTTAAGTCAACACACCTTATCAAATGCTTCAAAGCTATTATTATTAACTAACCTTGTATGAAAGAGGATTATGTTATTTCCTTTTAATTAGGGCTACAACAGCAATCTATATTTTGGTGCTTATAAAATCTGAGAAAATTATAGTAGCATGGTACTACTCTAATTAGACTACCATCAGATTTTCATGGTGTTTGAATGAGTGGATTAGCCTATACAAAAATAACAAGCTATGGCATGATTTTGTACATGAAAATACTTTGTACTGTGAAAAGTGTCAAACAACAGAGTTAGTATTTTTCCTGTGTTCTCCATAGCATATAATGACTGTACAAAAAATTGTCACATGCATGTTTTATACAAAATTTGTTCTCTAGCAAAAATAACAAAATCAGCTATTAAAGGGACTTGCACTACACCTCAAAATTTTCCCACAACACATGCATGAAACATATTTTTCCTAGGAAATACATGACATAAGAAGATTAACAAACTTTGAATCATATTTTCTAAAGCCTATAGATTTTTCTACATATTTTTCAAGTTATCAAGCCAATATTCATGATTAAATAAAATTCTACAAAGCAAAGTATCTCAAAATGATATGTGCACAATTTTTAACAGATAGATATAGTTACAAGAAGCATAACAAAATTTGTTTCATACATTTTGGAGCAACACAACTTGAGATATACATTTACTAAGCATTTGAATCAATTCTTGAAACTATTTCTAAAAACCCTTTTCCTTAAAACGAAAAACCAGCGAATGCAAACGTTGGGTGCACCGGGTTTTTCCTCGGTCGTGCTAGTTTGGCCCGCATGCCGACGGGCCGGGCGTGATGTGTGATACGTAATGGGAGGCGGCTCTACGCTACGCGGCTCGGCGCTATCTCACCGGCGACGAGCATTCCGGCGAGGCCGAGGTCACCGGCGTGCCCTACTCAACAATGCACACCGATTGGGGTAGGTGATGGGAGGGTGGTGCCATCGGAGGTAGCTCGCCGACGCCCATGGCGGCTGCGGTGGTGGAGGAGCGGCGTGCCGGCCGCCATCTCTCGGGCATGGCGGCACGAATCGAGGTTGGCGTGAGCATCTAGGGTACGCAGGGAAACCGATGGAAGGGAGAGAAAGGAGTGAGCGAGCTCGGTGGTGCTTGGCCACGGCGAAACACGCACTCCGTGGCGGCGTCGACCATGGCGAGCTCGCAGAATCGACAAAAGGATCCTCACCTAGGCTCGATTGACGCAGAAGCTGGCGCAGCAGGTGCGGCTAAGCAAAGCGGAGCTCGTGGCTCCCTGGAGGCGGCAACGACGCGGAGGCGAGTGAGCTGAGCAGCGAAGACTCTCCCTGCGGCAATGGCGGAGGCGCGAGCTCGGCTCTGAGCGAACTGGTGAAGCGAGGGGACGCGGGCGAAACAAATAAGCGATCCCTCGGGCGTGGCGTCTTCGTGGCGGCAATGGCTCGACCGGTGGGGCAGCGCCTTGGCGTCGGCTTCCACTTCATGGCGCTTTCGGCCCGACGCGGCGGTCGGCCACGACGGTCTGAACCCGAAACCCTGTAGCGCGATTCAGTCAAGTCCTCAACGTCTGACAGCAAGTTTTCAACGATCAAAAACTCTTAAACGGTGACGATCCAGCTCTAGATTAAGTTAACAAAGTTGGAGATTGAAGTGAGAGCTACAACATTTCTAATTAGCACTCGAACTGATTTGTTCAGGTTAGGGAGATACAAGGCTCCAAACAATGGTAAAAGAACTGAAATGCAACATCCAAACTTAGAAAATTCTACGTGTTGAGTCAGCACCACAAATCCGACTTGTGGGCCCAAATTGAACATGTTGTGCTCATTTTCATGAGTTGGTCACAAAACAACTTTTGTTCCTTATAACATTTGCTACAACTTTGTTTTAGGTCGCTCAGACATGCAAACATTCTAAGTGGTACTTTTTGAACAGTCAAACCAAAAAATCCTAGGGTCAAAACAAGTCAAACCATGATTTGAAATCTTAATTGGGCAAAATGATCAACATGAACATTGTTCATAATGACTTTCTAAGCACAGCTAAGATGTTTAACAATATATTTAGCCATCCCACATATTGGTCACACAAGAATCAAGCATAGAATGCACCGAAACGATAAAAAAAACAATTGAAATGTTACATTTATTTCATGGTCATGTTTCACATGTTTCAAGTGATATATGCGCATGAATGAATGAATGATGCTCATGGTCATGAAATGCAAGTGAAACCAGGCAAGACTAACACCA